GATTTAGACGTTTGGCGGGAAAGTCAGTGGTTGGGTCCAAGGGTATGGGGGTGTTTGAGAAGGATTCTTGTGTTCGGTATCGGGAACATTTAGAGAACACCCCTATCCAGTAAATATTGTATTCACCCTGGGGTATATAAGCGGGTGAGGATTACAGTTCGGGTCTGTCGATATTCTCATTAAGAAGACCAGTGTACAAGAGTAAGGCACGTTACATAGCTGTAAGTGATATTGTCGAGGACAACTTGTACTGGGGACAACTTGTACTAGGTACAAGTTGGTCTAACATAGGAAGTTGGCAGAGCAGACTGTCCCATACGGAGGACGGACTGCAATAATATAACCCGCACTGTCTGGTAGTGACAGACTGTCCCACTCGGAGGACAGCTGTACCAGCAGCACTGTCTGGTATCGACAGACTGTACCAGCCACACTGTCTTGTAGTGACAGACCGTCCCATCTGGAGGACAGGCTGTAAGATTTGTATTATATTTGTATATATATATATATATATATATATATAATTGTTAGTCGTTACTTTATATCGGCAAAGAGCCCGTGTGTATATTTTAGTTCATTGTGTATAACATAGATAGTTAATAGTATTGCCGTATTGTTTATGGACAGCTTGAATCCAAGTATTTACTGGAACGGACGTTTAAGATATAAACGCCTGGTTACACGTTACATATTTGGTGGCAGCGGTGGGATTCAAGTTGTCTATCAAATACTATTTGATTGATTGATTGATCGTCATTAAATTTATTGTCAGTTGACATCAGTGTTTATTTAAAAGATTAAAGCAGATCTACCGTGAGGCATAGTTGTAGTTCACGGCTGAGTTGTAACACGAGTGTATTATTTAATAAAAGATTATAACACTATAATTGTTTTATTTGAATTGCACTATACTGCAATGGAAATGTTAAATATTGACGATCAGATTGCTGAAATAAGTAGACAAATACAGTCTCTTAGTGAAAACACAATACAACATGGACAAAGTTTTATATATTCCACACCTCGAGAGCAGGGTGTACGTCCAAAGGTTGTTGAAAACAAAGAACATGATTCAGGCGTAGTGACGACAGGGCCGTCTCTATCAACACCTGTAGGATTGGCCATGGGTGATACACTGCCTTTGCCAGATGGGGATATCATATCAAATCCACACGTAAATAACAGAAAATCCATAGGGCAAGACAAAACTCAATATATTAATCCTAAGCAGGAATTAACAAAAAATCAAAGTACTGCTCATACTGTTAGCTATGGTTCAAATGATGTTAAAATCAAACCTTCAAAATATGATGGCAATACTCCTTGGATGGATTACTTATCACACTTTGAGATGTGTGCCCTAGTCAATATGTGGTCTGAACATCAAAAAGGTTTGTACTTGGCCGTGTCACTGATTGGACAGGCTCAAGCAGTTCTTGGTGATTTACCAAAGGAAAAGAGACAAATATTTTCAGATCTTGTAAACGCACTGGAGGAACGCTTTTCTCCATCTAGTCAAACTGAACTATATCGTGTTCATTTCAAGGAATGTCGACAAAAAGCAAGCGAGACTTTGCCGGGGTTAGGTCAGTCAGTTCGAAGACTTTCTAATCTGGCCTACCCGACTGCTCCGTTAGAATTAAGGGACACGCTTGCCAAAGAACAGTTTATAGATGCGCTAGTAGACTCAGAAATGAGACTGAGAATTAAACAGTCTCGTCCAAAAGGTCTTAACGAAGCTATACGGTTGGCGGTTGAGCTTGAAGCTTATAACAAGGCTGAGAGTAGAACAATGAAAAGTATGGGTCACTTACGACATACTACTAGTGACGAACGGACAGAAGCACCTAATAGTCCTGATATGACTGTATCTATGGGACAAATGACGGCGTGGATACAGACGATTGAAAATAGTTTACAATCCTTAACAAAAGAACTTAGGGATTTAAAGTACACGAGAAAGTTCCAACCACAGGGGAAGATAAATAGCACACAAAGCAAAGGAAAAAGGCGTGGTCCTTGTTTCAGTTGTGGAGAAATAGGACACTTTGCAAGAAATTGTCCTAATAATAATCAGAAGCAAGGTACTCTGGGAATAGATAGCAACGGAACATATACGGACGGATCGGTTAATACACTGAAGTCTGAAGTTAAGTCTTCAAACAATGATAAAGGCGCTGTTGTTGTTTCAGCATCAGAGGATGCAGGAATGTTTGTTGAGTTGAGCATTCAAGATGTACCAGTCAAGTTTGTGGTTGATACTGGAACTACACTAACTTTAGTCTCTACAAGAGTGTATGATTTAATTCCTGACTTGTGTAGGCCACATCTGAGTAAAACTAGGTCACAGATTAAGTCCGTCTGTGACAAATATCTAAGCCTTCGAGGTAAAGGTAGTTTTAAAATGGATTTTGGTAAAGAGAAGTTTACTTCAGAGGCCGTTGTAACTGACCTACAAGTAGATGGTATTCTAGGTTTAGACTTTATGAAGAAAAATAAGTGTTTGATTGACGTGTCTGCTAACTTATTACACATCGATAACTGTAGGGTTCCTCTAAATTTTCAAGGTACCCAACGTAGAAATGCTGACGCATTAAGTAGTGCTCCAGGCAAACCACGTCGGTTAACATCAGACAGTCAGTCAAACATGAGCAGTGATTGTTCTAAGAGGAAACATAGCCATGTCAAAATCGTAACCAGTCAGATGCCTGACAATGGTAAAGACTTGACTTTAAATGAGTTACAATCGAATGACTCGGACCTTAAACTTGTTAAGCGGTGGCTGACAGAGGGTCATAGGCCACAATACAATGAGGTATCCGGTAAGGGATTCTTTATAAGGTCATTATGGAGTCAGTTTGATGGTTTAGAGCTCCAAGAGGATATAGTAGTAAGACACTTCAATGACCTAGAACTGAACGTTGCAAAATTACAAGCGGTAATTCCAATGTCGGAGCGCAAACAAGTATTAGAATACTGTCATGACACAAAGTATGCTGGTCACTTAGGTATTCATAAAACTCGAGAGAAAATACGCCAGTCTTACTATTGGCCTGGTTTGAAATCTGACGTTAGGGCATATGTTGCTAGTTGCAATAAGTGTACTAGGAGAAACCACCCAATGAAAAAGAATCGTGCCTCAATGAGATTAGAGGAGGAAAATAGTCGTCATAAGAGTCAGAGACCAGCCTGGATGGCTGATTGTGAAATTGAATAAAGTCAAGATTGTGTACATATATTAATGGATGAATTTTGTTTTGTAATTGTAATGTTTATACCATGCGGGACGCATGTAGATTGAGGCGTGGGTTATGTAATGTTTATTGGTCGTTATGGTTACAAACAAGAAGAACCTTGTTGTATCAATACATGTTTCACGCAGAAGGAAGCGTTGGGTCGATTTAGACGTTTGGCGGGAAAGTCAGTGGTTGGGTCCAAGGGTATGGGGGTGTTTGAGAAGGATTCTTGTGTTCGGTATCGGGAACATTTAGAGAACACCCCTATCCAGTAAATATTGTATTCACCCTGGGGTATATAAGCGGGTGAGGATTACAGTTCGGGTCTGTCGATATTCTCATTAAGAAGACCAGTGTACAAGTGTAAGGCACGTTACATAGCTGTAAGTGATATTGTCGAGGACAACTTGTACTGGGGACAACTTGTACTAGGTACAAGTTGGTCTAACATAGGAAGTTGGCAGAGCAGACTGTCCCATACGGAGGACGGACTGCAATAATATAACCCGCACTGTCTGGTAGTGACAGACTGTCCCACTCGGAGGACAGCTGTACCAGCAGCACTGTCTGGTATCGACAGACTGTACCAGCCACACTGTCTTGTAGTGACAGACCGTCCCATCTGGAGGACAGGCTGTAAGATTTGTATTATATTTGTATATATATATATATATATATATATAATTTTTTAGTCGTTACTTTATATCGGCAAAGAGCCCGTGTGTATATTTTAGTTCATTGTGTATAACATAGATAGTTAATAGTATTGCCGTATTGTTTATGGACAGCTTGAATCCAAGTATTTACTGGAACGGACGTTTAAGATATAAACGCCTGGTTACACGTTACACATTTATTAAAATTTATATATATTTATCCCAATTTATGTATATCTATCATAAGTTAAATACAGAATATTTGAAAAATTTATATTAATTAAATTCTTGGCTGCACTTTTTTTTTTAAATTTATAATTACTTTTAATTACTGTTGATTGAATTTTGATTGCTGGTCACAAGTTAGGTATAATTTGATGTCTTTGATATCACTGATTGTTGTATGAATTGTCTTTGGTGGATTGTAAACAGACTTCAACATATTCAAATACATACAGATAACTTAGTCTTCAGTTGTTTTATTTAAATACCTTGTAGTCCTTGAATTCACAGAAACTTATTTCCTGGTAGCAGCTAGACAACATAATACATCATAAATAAATATTTGACGAAATTGTAGACACACTTTAACATATTCAAATATATACACACAATGCAACATATATATATAATAAAATAAAAATCAGGGCGAACGGACTCAGGGCGAACAGGTATCAGGGCGAACAGACTCAGGGCGAACAGGTACTAGGGCGAACCGGATTCAGGGCGAACGGACCCGGATTCACTCCTGAACATGCATGAAATATTTGCCACTGGATGTAAGGAAAAACGATTTATAAATAGTTATGAGTTTATATTTCAAATTGTTTTAAAGTATTACTTTAAACTGTTTCCGTGTATTATATAAGATCATTCTTAATTTAACTTAAGATGGGGAAAAAATGCAAATGACAAGGGAAAAAAACACTTTTGATGTCCTTCCTGTCTTAGCTTGCGTTTCTACTTTCTTGGGATTTAGATACACCATCTAAATATCTAGTCTATAGATATCCCTGTTAGTTATTGATAATAATGGGTATTGCCAGAAGGTTTTTGGGTGTTAAAAAACGCGGTATCGTAATCTTGTATGAGTTGTTATGCTACTCACATAAAGAAAATCACTTGTTTATGTTTTCACTGGAAACGTGGAACAGTGCACTTCCTGTTTACTGCGCAAGAACAGGTGCGCTTGCCCTTTTGTGATGTCACGCTGGACCAATGAAATTGTAGAATCCAGGTGCGTCGCGAGGTGTAGGTCACAACCCTTGACCTTTATACGTCTGGCACGGAGTTCCAAGTTGATGTTGACATTTACCGGCCAAGAAATAATTTACATTCTTCAGTTGTAAGTATACCATATTTCTAGTGATATATATTTATATAAAAATCAAACCTTACGTTTTTAGAATCTTACATGTGGCAGACAAAAAGAGATTTTGTTCGTGAAGCCATGCCAGCCGCCATTTGAGAGATTTTCTGCGATTTTTTTTCATAAGTTTCTTTACATGCTGGATAATTTGTGTAAATGACACCCTTATATGTATCCTAAAAATTGCATGGGTCGTTTTAAATATTAACTGATGAAGTGTCGAGCTTTGAATCTGCAGTAGACAGACTGTCATTTTCGGTGTAAACATAACCTTTCAGTTTGTTCCATGTGAGGGAAGTGCATGACCTTTCGATGTTTCGTTCGATTGACTCGGTCAGGGGTTTCATTTCGTGATTGCGCAGTTTCTTTATTTTGAATTGTCACTGTTTAAGAGACTAATTAATCTATACATGTTTTATATTAAGTTGATCTTATAGCAATAGAAATGCCAATGTAAGGATAAGAAAAATAAGACTAGACACTCTATAAGCCATCGACCTTTGTCCTTTTGCATATGCACTGTACCGGCTGGAAAATTGGGTCATTTGCATATATTATTTAAATGAGAACTGTCTGGCATTATTGATTACAATGCTTGAAACAGTCATGAGCGTTACTTAATATTTGCACATGTTTGTTTCCTATTGAAAGAGATTCATTGATAAAACATCATTCACAATAGGTTATTTTTACCTATAAAATTAAATTTACAGCCAAAAAAAAAAGAAGTGTAATGAAATTTAGTAAATATTCAGTGGCAAATATTTCATTTTGAGAGTACAACAAAATGTAATACAGGTTTTACTGTGGATTCATTTATTTTCGTGGGTATCAATTTTCGTGGATTGAGGAAAACTTGCATTTTCGTGGATATTTGATTTCGTGGTTTGCCAACCTCTGCATGCAAAGCCTATTATAAATTTGTAATTTGTTGAACATTTAAATTCGTGGTTCGCCTGTACCCACGAAACCCAAGAAAATTGGTATCCAACGAATAATAATGAATCCACAGTAAACCTATTGGACTAGAGGCATTTCTCCAAACTGTCAAAGAGGTTGGTTATTAATTGGAAATCAAACAAATACGGCTTCTGGAACATGAACTCCACAATAACCTTCATCATGTTCATTTGGGCAGTAAGGCTAGTCCAAATTTATTTTGGTTCCTTCCTGCAACAATGAGTGGTTAATTGAAATCTTAATTAAAAAAAAAACATCTTTAGTTATTAAGAAGTCATCCTTACATATATCTGGACTTCAAATAGACCAAAATACGTTTGAAACTTGATCATACATTTATCGCTATACAGTATTACTACATCAATTAGACAGCAATTCATGCCATCAACAAAAACAATATCAAAGAACATTTAGAGGTCAACATACATCAGGGTTCTCACTAAGGATTTTTGAAGGAGAATCCAAGGACTCATCATTTTTTGGTCATGGCGAGTCGAACAGTGAGAAAAAAATATTGCTATATTATTTGTTATTTCTCGAGCTCCATGATGGTATAGAGCAAGGAAATGACATCAAATTTAAATTATTTTTAACTTTTGCTATAAAATGATGAAGTGTGTGCTCAGTTGACCAAACATTTTACAATCCTGATGAATCTTTAGACTCACAAGTTTTGAAAATTTTGGAGACTGAAAGTTCGGACAGATTTTCATGAGTCCAGGACTCCTGGACTTGCCTTTAAAGTATTCCTCACTGATACAATGCTGTATGGAATGGGATAAAAACTTTCAAGTTTGATATCCTTCGCCTCTCTTTTAGGGTCTTAAGTATGTGGGGCATTATTAACAAAAACAATGGTAAATGATGTGATTATTGTGTTGCTGTCTCATTAATGGTTATGCCCGAAACCAATGCATAGAAACATCTTCTTTTAATGTCTTTTCAACATGTTAAATTCTGTAAGGCCATTCAAAAATGATTGGTAGTTTACCCTTACCCTGCTGGGTCTGTTTTTACCCTCCGAATCAATTCTTTTTCTTTTTTTTTTTGATGCTTTTTAAAATTGTCTGATAATCTCTTAAAAGTGTTTCAACATTGCTCAATTATCATCGCTTTAGTTTCACATAGCTTATACCCCAATATAGAATGTAAAACAAGAATTTACTGTCGGGTTAACAACACCATTCTCTGTATCTAGAGCGAAACTGATTTTCCACAAAAAAATGCTGGGCCTTCATAATTTTCACATGTTCGGAGAAACATAGCCTAAAGTGTACATGATTGTAAAATCACCTTCTTTTTGTACTCATACATGTACATGCGTGCAATTTTGTTGTCCAAAATGTAGAAGCAAGTTAACGTTCTACATGTTCTACACCCCTGATCAGGGGTACATGGGGTAGTTATAGGAACTGACATTACATGTAGCCTAGCCAGTAGGGCCATTTGATACGAATACATGTATCTTCCTGTCCTTGAATTTGTCTGCTCCTTTTTATGCTACATGTATATTACAAAATTTGATCTTAACTCCTTAAATTTACTTGTCCATAAAGGGCCAGTCTGAAAAACCGTTTTATTGGCCATGACCAACATGACAGTTCAATGTTTTGGGCCAGCAAAGAGTTTACCCCTGGTATGTAAACAGATTCACAAAGGCGTATAATGAAAGTAATATAATGAACTTTGAGTCTCTTGTTTTCAAGATTCATCTACAGAGAGAAATGAGAGAGTTAAAAATGTTTCTAATTTCTTTCAGCTGTGGATGCATGTAAATGTCCTCCCAAGAGGAAGGAAATTCTTCCTTGACGTCACCAAGTGCAGGGGCAGTTAATCCAGCCCGATTCTTCACAATGGAAGGTGGCGGAATAGGAGAGAATATTATACATGTGATTAATCCTGCATCATTAGGATCTCTATCAGGAGCTACATCAGTTGCTAATTCTGCTCTTCAAGCTGCTAACATGCAGACCATAACAATACAGCCAGGAACTTTTCCTATACCTATTAGTATAGCTCAACAAATGGCAAGTGCTAACCAAGCAAGTAATGTACATGTTTTGGAAGTCTTGGATTTTTCAAAAAATACATGTAAACTCATACATGAAAAAAAGAAATGATCAATTATGACACTGAAACAGAAACCCAACATAATGCATATAAAAACACCAACATGTCACCTTATTTTGTTGGCGTCTTCAATAGAAAGATGTGAACAAAACTCTTGGATTGAACTCCAAATTCTTTCCTAGTGTCATTAGTATTTGAAGTTTGCTTTTGGTAATTTGGTTAGACACATAATCTTGATGATTATGTTTTCCACAAAATCATGAATCTACATATTTCTTAAATCAATATGCGAAAATATGAAGTGTTTCAACTCTTATATAATTAATGCACATGTACATGTGACAACACAAAAATCAGACTTTAAAATACATTTTCTTAGTGTAAATGTACATGATGTATCATTAGTTATTATAAGTATATAATTTCCTACACAATTAAAGATATCTAATGGTATAAAGGATTAGATCCTAGTGCAGGCAATTACAAGTAAAACACTAGTGTTTCTCTAAACATGCTAAAGGAGGTTTTGAAAGAGCTTGGCACCCTGTCATGTTTTCATGATGTCCTGCCCATTTATGTTTTGGCATCATGTTCATTTTCCGTCATATTTTATAACACCCTGCTGTAATTTTAGATCTGTTCTGCAATTCATCTTTTGATAACACCATTTCAAGTTATTTCTTTTTGGACAAAACCAAAATTTGAATGGCCGACATTTTATTAAATTTCAAAATTATGTTTGAGCATTTTTTTTAACCACCGAGAACAAATACGGTTGATGATTGAATGGAATAAGGACAGCAGTGACTTTGTTCCTTTGCGAAATTAAAATGTTGACAATTTAAAGGGGAACAAGACAATAGTTTGAGTTATGAATTTACGATGCATGGAATGAACATTACATAAACAATCAGCTGTTTGTTTATATGTTCCTTTTAAGTATGACCATTTTCACTATTCACTATAGTGGGCTTTCGTGCTCGTTAGAGCCTCTAGTATGTTTTTGTTAGTCTTGTATGTTTTTTTAATTTAAGTTCATTTATATGTTCAGAGTTTTGTGTGACGTCCATTTTCACTGAACAACTCAAGTACACATTTTTGTTTAGGGGCCAGCTGAAGCCTGCATCTGGGTGTAGGATTTTCTCGCTGTGTTGAAGACTCATTGGTGGTTATGGGCTGTTTTATGCTCTTTGTTCGAATTGTTCATGTTGTTGTCTCTTTGACACATTTCCATTCTCAATTTTATCTAGTTTATGAATAAAACGGGCAAGTTTGTATTATGGAGATTTTTTTATTCGACCGCAAAAAAAATTTGCGGTCATATATTGGTTTGACGTTGTCGTCGTCCAGTGACACATTGGTTTTCGCACTCTAACTTTAGCATGTTTAGTTTAAGTGAATGGATCTCTATGAAATTTTACCATAAGGTTCAATACCACAAAAAGAAGGTTGGGATTGATTTTGGGGGTTATGGTACCAACAGTTCAGGAATTAGGGGCCAAAAATAAGCATTTTTATACGACCGCAAAAAAATTTTGTGGTCGTATATTGGTATGACGTTGGCGTCGTCGTCGTCCGGCGTCGTCGTCCGAATACATATTGGTTTTCGCACTCTAACTTTAGTTTAAGTGAATGGATCTTTTTGAAATTTGACCACAAGGTTAAATACCACAAAAGGAAGGTTGGGATTGATTTTGGGGGTTATGGTACCAACAGTTAAGGAATTAGGGGCCAAAAATGAGCATTTTCTAGTTTCCAGACAATAACTGTGGAACGGTGTATGGATCTCTCTGAAATTATACTACAAGTTTCCATACCACAAAGGGATGGTTAGGATTTGCTTAGGGGGGTTATGGCTCAAACCGTTTAGGAATTAGGGGCAAAAAAGGGGGAAAAACAAGGTTGTCCTGGTTAATGGACAAATACTTTAGTACAAAACATAATTTAAAGCAGTGTAAGGGAGATAAATCAAATACGTCATTGAAATTATCTCCCTTACACTGCTTTTAAATTATGTATAAAGTAATGGTTAATGAACAATAAAGATAATCTAAAACAGTGTAAGGGAGGTAATCCAAATACAACATTTTGGTTACTTCCCTTACTCTGCTTTTAAATTATGTTTAAAGAAATGCATATTTATAAAGGAAGACCAGTAAAAATATCTGCAAATGTTTTCATCTTTTTTTTTTACAAAAAAATCCATATGAAAGATTTGACACTATATTTTTATTAATTCTATTATAAAATAGATTAAGTTAGCACTATGGTAAATTTAAATGGGTAATTATGGTTGCCAACTCCATTGGAAATTTGAATTGAGATTATGACCATATCTTGAGGAAAAGAATTTTTTTGGGGGAAAAAGGGGGGGGGGATAAAAAGAAATTGTGGGGGGCCAATTTTTTCTCATTTCAGATTTCAGAAATTAAAAAGAATTATTCTTCAAATATTATTTTTTTTTCAAATTTCAAATATTGAAAAATTTCAAGAAGTAATCTTTAATTGCACAGTATGGCGCATTAGATTTGTAAAATCTTTGATCACATTTATTTATTTGTTATGCCGAATCTAACAGTGTATTTAGATTTTTAATTTTGGGTCCAGTTTTCAAATTGGTCTACATTAATGTCCAAAGGGTCCAAAATTAAACTTTGTTTGATTTTAGCAAAAATTGAATATATGAGGTTCTTTGATATGCTGAATCTAAACATGTATTTAGATTTTTGATTTTTGGCCCAGTTTTCAAGTTGGTCCAAATTGGGGTCCAAAATTAAACTTTGTTTGATTTCAACAAAAATTGAATATATGGGGTTCTTTGATATGCTGAATCTAACCATGTATTTAGATTTTTTATTTGTGGACCCCGTTATCTAATTGGTTCATATTGAGGTCAAAAGGGTCCAAAATTAAACTTTGTTTGATTTCATCTAAAATTGAATTATTGGGGTTCTTTGATATTCCAAATCTAACCGTGTATTTAGGTTCTTAATTTTGGGTCCTGTTTTTTTAAATTGGTCTACATTGAGGTCCAAAGGGTCCAAAATTAAACTTAGTTTGATTTTAACAAAAATTGAATTCTTGGGGTTCTTTGATTTGCTGAATCTAAACATGTGTTTAGATTTTTGATTATGGGCCCAGTTTTCAAGTTGGTCCAAGATAGGGTCCAGTATTTAAACTTTGTTTGATTTCAACAAAAATTGAATATATGGGGTTCTTTGATATGCTGAATCTAAACATGTATTTAGATTTTTGATTATGGGCCCAGTTTTCAAGTTGGTCCAAATTGGGGTCCAAAATTAAACTTTGTATGATTTCAACAAAAATTGAATATATGATGTTCTTTGATATGCTGAATCTAACCATGTATTTAGATTTTTTATTTGTAGGCCCCGCTATCAAATTGGTTCATATTGAGGTCAAAAGGGTCCAAAATTAAACTTTGTTTGATTTCATCGAAAATTGAATTATTGGGGTTCTTTGATATGCCAAATCTAACCGTGTTTTTAGATTTTTAATTTGGGTCCCGTTTTTTAAATTGGTCTTCATTGAGGTCCAAAGGGTCCAAAATTAAACTTAGTTTGATTTTAACAAAAATTGAATTCTTGGGGTTCTTTGATATGCTGAATCTAAACATGTATTTAGATTTTTGATTATGGGCCCAGTTTTCAAGTTGGTCCAAGTTGGGGTCCAAAATTAAACTTTTTTTGATTTCAACAAAAATTGAATATATGGGGTTCTTTGATATGCTGAATCTAACCATGAATTTAGAATTTTTATTTGTGGGCCCCGCTATCAAATTGGTTCATATTGAGGTCAAAAGGGTCCAAAATTAAACTTTGTTTGATTTCATCAAAAATTGAATTATTGGGGTTCTTTGATATTCCAAATCTAACCGTGTATTTAGATTTTTAATTTTAAGTCCCGTTTTTTAAATTGGTCTACATTAAGGTCCAAAGGGTCCAAAATTAAACTTAGTTTGATTTTAGCAAAAATTGAATTCTTGGGGTTCTTTGATATGCTGAATCTAAACATGTGTTTAGATTTTTGATTATGGGCCCAGTTTTCAAGTTTGTCCAAGTTGGGGTCCAAAATTAAACTTTGTTTGATTTTAACAAAAATTGAATATATGGTGTTCTTTGATATGCTGAATCTAACCATGTATTTTGATTTTGGACATTGGACCATAATAGGTAAATTAAAAAAATTCAAGTTCTTAGACCACATTCTTTCTGTGTCAGAAACCTATGCTGTGTCAAATATTTAATAACAATCCAAATTCAGAGCTGTATCAAGCTTGAATGTTGTGTCCATACTTGCCCCAACTGTTCAGGGTTCGACCTCTGCGGTCGTATCAAGCTGCGCCCCAGCGAAGCATTTTATTGTAACTTCCAGGCATAACTTGTGTGTTAATGTATGGATCTCTCTGACATTGTACCACAAGGTTCCATATCACAAAGGGAATGCTGGGATTGATTTTTGGGGTAATTTCCACCAAATTTTAGGAATTAGGGGACAAAAAAGGGACAAAAAACAAGCATTTTTCTAGTTTCATGACAATAACTTGTGTGTAAGTGTATGGATCTTTATGAAATTGTACTACAAGGTTCCATATCACAAAGGGAAAGCTGGAATTGAGTTTGGGGGTAATTGCCCAAAACGTTTAGGAAAAAGGGGTAAAAAATAAGCATTTTTCTAGTTTCCAGACAATAACTTGTGTTCAAGTGTATGGATCTCTCTGAAATTGTACTGCAAGGTACCATACCACAAAGGGAAGGCTGGGATTGAGTTTGGGGGTGATGAATCATAAGGGGGTTCAAAAAATTGGGGGGGGGGATTTTTTTTCCATTTTAAATTGGTTATTTCTGATTTATATATAAAAGCAAATAATAATGATATGTTTTGAATAGGTAAATTAAAAATTTTCAAGTTCTTAGACCACATTCATTCTGTGTCAGAAACCTATGCTGTGTCAAATATTTAATTACAATCCAAATTCAGTGCTGTATCTAGCTTGAATGTTGTGTCCATACTTGCCTTAACTGTTCGGGTTCGACCTCTGCTGTCATATCAAGCTGTGCCCAGCGGAGCATTTTATTTTCTCTAAAATTTTAATTTCCTTACAGATTGGTTCACCAACAGCAGTTACAAATGGTGGACAACAGCAAATAATTATGTCGTCTGCTGACCTGGCAGCTAAACTGAAGGATGGATTACCTACACAAGTTCTACAGGTACCAACTGGTGGCTTCTCAGCAGCAAATGTTGACTGGGCTGCTAAACTCAAGGTACTAAAAGTGCCAAAAAGCTATTCATGTTTGCATGTTATTTTAGTAACAGCATATTCATTAGCTTTCAGTCAAACATAATTTTGAATATTCACATCTCAGACATCTTGTCAGACTTATAGTCGATTAATCCATAACTGAAAAGATAAAAAATCAAAATGAGATCATAAGAGGATGACAGCTTAGAAAAATTTGGGCATCAATTCAGTTTTTGATTGTATCAATTCCTCGCAAATTTCATACAACATCATGTTAAACAAGGAATTTTGAAGTACAATCATGACAATGTAACACCAATCAATCAATACGTCTTAAAAGTGTATGTTACCGCACTGTTCTCCCTAGGATTTTTGGATAGCACCAGGGTAACGCTTGTGGACAGCTTGTATATAAAAGGATTCTTTCATAAAGAGATATATAAAATTAACAAGAACAAGTATTTTTTTATCATTTGAACCAGTTTCTATCTTAAATTTTAATAAAAAGAAATTTCATAAACTTTAACACATTTTGCCATAAATATAAATTTCATGTAAATATTAACCTTTCTTGTCTTTGGTGATAATCAAACATAGATACAGACTAAATACTGCACTAAAATCTAAATCTTTATTTGTCATGATCCGTTTAAAAAGAATTCCTAAATCTATTTATCTTATGTCTATAAGATCTATAAGTAACCATATTCAATGTCCACAGCAAATTCTCACTACTTTCCCGCCTAAATGACAGGAAGTAGATATAAAATTATAAATAGATTTTTAACATGTGCTTATGGATAATGTTTGCAAGATTACTTCTTTTATTCATTAATTTTGGATATAGATATCCAGTTTGAAGGCACAGTTATGCATTTATTTATAAAATAGATTGCAATTAATTTTAAATAAACTTGAATTAACTGGGCCATGTGATATGTACAGATGTCCGTCCCCTTTAAATAACTTGTTGACAGGTACTTAAGTTTGAAACCCGACTATCATGCAATAACTACATCATAATTAAAGATAATTTTGGCCATGGATTAATGTAGAACGGACATCGTGAATTTTGATAATCATATATTTCTGATGAGGAAAGCTTGTCCTACGTGCTTCATAAAGAATTGAGAAACATATAATTTACAATTATCTGTAATGAGCCAACAATTTAATATGTATAAAAAAATGTTCCAGCGTGTGTACAACTATCGGCACTTTTTGTGTACAAAGTATTTGCCGACTTGTCACAGGTCAGCACTTGGGTGGTGAGTGAAGCCATAAAATAGTTATCTGTGATCATAAAATTATGATCTCTTAATTAAAACACAAAAGAATCATGTTACAAGTGTAAATTACTTTGATTAAATCCAATCAACAAGGTTAACCTCATAAGGTAAATCGATCACGTGGTTTAAACAATCTGGTTTGAACTGGTCAAATTTCACATTGAATTTTATACCGCACAGAAAAGATTTAACAAGTTGTTTAAAACTTTACCGATATACAATTTTTTAACTGAAAATTTTAGCACCACAGACAAAAATTATACATCATGGTAAGACCGACAGAACCACGCTCAAAAATTATACATCGTGGGCCCGCGGTCCTTTAAGGGCCTGGGGAGAATACTGTGGTACCAAAATGAAAGAATGAAAAGTAAATAAATTATGTATTTCAGATAACAGATATCCTTCATCAGTATGATGTAAAATAAAGTCTTATTAATCTTTGAAAATTTTCATTCAAAAAAATTTGCTCAATGGCTGCTCTGTCTCAGCAACTTACTGTTTACCACATTTGAAATGTAAATGAAAAGGAAATATTGTCCTTTGACCATATTGACAGATAAAATATGTGCATAGGTGGGGAACATTGGAAGACTTTGGTAGTGAATCATGACACAATTGCAAGTGGTCCACATAAATATATATATTTTATAAAGTCAAGGTAAAACGGTCCTTACATTTACCTAACCTAATGTTGCTCATTCACTGTTGTATCAATAGAGCACAAGTTTCAGATTTTGTTTTTAGCATAATAATTAAGATAATAATCAGTATAAGAGAATGTATATATATATATGTTTGAAGGAATTGCAACATGCCCAAAGAATAGACAGACTGAGAGATGAGCAAATTCAGATTAGACAGAGGACACAGTTGAAAATAGAGACTAAGTTTGATCCATGTGTAGTATGTGGAGACAAGGCCTCTGGTATGTTTGATATTATAGTTTTTACCCCCACTTTACGAGTTGGGGCTATATTGCATTTTCCTTTTCAGTCCATTTGAATCAATCAAAGGCATATTATCAAATTATAGAGATGATTGACAGATGTGAAATAGCTTTCATTAATATTTAAATACTTGTCATGAATTGAAGTAAAAAGTCGATAAGAAATTACATAGTATTTTATTAGTATCTTATGCTTGTGAGAATAACCAAAAATAAACTTCAGTACAAACTTGTGATTTTCAGATAGATGTACAAAGGGACACAATTCAATCTCAGTTATCCAAATTATGAACATTTCACATTTACAAGGTTACTTGACTATTTATTATGCTTCATTTAAATACAAAAATTCTGTTAGAATAATATCTTCAAAAGAAAGAGACTTTTTTACCAAGTGATATGTTTGTTTTCTTTAAGACTTAATGATAGAAATTTCAACAACTGCTTTGATTAAAACATTTGTAAAGAGATGATTTAATGTTATACTGTACATTTATGGATATGCTGATTTTGGTTATCAAGTCAGATTGGATGGCTTACAGCATTAGTAGTGCTTTGATTTTTTCCATTTACTGCAGGGAGACATTATGGTGTGATCAGCTGTGAAGGATGTAAAGGTTTCTTTAAGAGAAGTATACGTAAACAACTTGGGTATGCCTGTCGTGGTGGAAAGGATTGTCCAATCAACAAACCACACAGAAATAGATGTCAATACTGTCGACTACAGAAATGTTTAGCTGTGGGAATGAGAGCTGAATGTTAGTGTATATGTCATGTTATAATATTGGTTTCCCCATTGTTGTGAAGAAATTTGAAAATTGCATTCAGTAACTTTAGTTTTTGTTTGCACTTGACGTTCACATTTTAGGCAAATGTTATTGAAACTACCAGCCATGGGAGTCCCTTGTTTAAGGTCAGGGTCGTTTAACACTCCTGTAGTAGACCTAATGAATGTGTAAGTAAAATCAGTCACAATATACAAGATGGCTTATAAAATTATGTGGCTATGATAATATCACTTTATTGCTAAGTGTTGTTCCAAAATTGATCCTGGGAGGAGGGTGATGGGCCCTCAAAATTGTTATGCCCCCGTTGCAAGGTGTAGGGGACATTAAGGTAAACCCTTGTACGTACATACATCTCAACCAAATGTTATGAGACTTATACACAATGTTTATAAACACCAAACACAAATCAAGTTTCTAATTTGTGTGGCGTCACTCACTAGTAACTGTTTTCACTACTGAAACGGTCATTATAAACTGAACAACTCTTAAATGTCTGAATTTACCACAAGGAAAAATGTCAAGATCTTTTTCAGTCGTTCAGTACATGTTCAGTGCACTGGCTACCGCGAGCGATCAAGTATCGGACAGTACTGGTTCAGGTAATTAAGAAACGATCACTAGCAGTTAATTAAGTACCGTCAAGAGCGTGTTTGTACAAATCAGTACATCGATAGATTAAACGTCTAGTACCGTTCAGTGCAATAGAACAATACAGGGATTGCTTCCCTTTGACAAGCAGAGGATCTTAAAAGAAATCGAAATAAAATTATTTATAAGATAATAACAATGAATGTTTAAATAAACAAATAAATATATGTATAAATATATGTTTACATGGTGTATGTGTTCCGTGATTATTACTGTAATAAAACAATGATTTGTATAGAAACTTACTTTAAAATCTTTGATATAAATAGCAAGAGTGAAAATTATTGATAAATTATTTTTTTATCAGTCAGATATATAACTCTATAGGGTTATTACAGAAAAATAACATACATTTGTTACTGTGGACTAAAAAATCAAAGAACTGTGATAACATATGTATGTTACATGTTTCAAAGGGACAATATACATCATTAGTTTAATTAAAATGTATACAAGTTCAATTGATATTACTATTGTCTTTATGTATACTTAACTACAGAAAGATATAACAGTTCATAGTTTGTCAATTATGCATAGTACACCTATGTTATTACAGAAAAAATATGCCTGTAATAACTAAAGGATGTTATCACAGCTACTCCCAAGCATTTGCTCAGACATAGATCATGCTTAATTACAATGTATTTTAATTCATTGTAAGAAATAATGACCAGAGCATGTAATGAGGTTCTGCGCAAGCTTCCCAGTAATTCCCAAGTGTCTCATATAATAAGTTACATTCCTTTAATAACTAAGCCTTGTTATTACAGCTAAGTCTATCTCTCAAAAGCCTTGTCTCATTGATTTACCATGGTTAATCAAAAATGTATTAATCTAATTTAAAAATTAGTTATCAAGGCTATGCATTTAGTTTCTGCGCAAAGTCTCAAGAGTTCCCTAGAGCCCACTATAGATTAAAATATTTTACAAATAACAAACATATGTTATTACAGATTTAGAAAATTTAAGGAATAAAGAGTAGACAACTCGTGAAAGTATCTGTAATAACACATGCAAGTTATTTCCTGTAATAACCCTATAGAGTTATATCCCTGACTGTTTATTGAAATAACAAAAATCATTAATCGACTTTCTATGTTAAGAATAAAAGACTTTCGTATTCGGCGTTGGTCATTCGTTACGGTTATAATGATGAAGAGTCCCGATAGCTTCCGAAAATACCCACGCTATTAATTCGCGCCATTTGTCATTTAATAATATTTACATACAATAGTCTGATAGCATTTCAAGAAGTAACGTAAGTACATTTCTTTGAAGATACGTTAACTATCTTTAGTTAAAAATAATCCTGAGCTGTACAAGAATGTTTGTTTGCAAAATAATACCGACAAACATCTCCTAAGCATTTTCATCAAAGAAGGAGGGGTGTATACAGCTGTTTAGAAATCAACACCCTTAGTTTTTTAAACATAAGCATCGAAATATTTGCGTTATATATGTAAAATCATACAATTTCTAAAATCTCTTCACTAGTACACAAGCGTAAATTTTGTGAAAACTGCAGTGGCAACTTTAGATGTCTATTAATGGACTATTGATCCATGTATAAACTATGATGATGGCTTTGTTGCTTTTATATTAATCAAACAATATTGTGTACCACACTATCATGTACTGGGGCTTATCGTCTGCACTTAAGCCTTTGGCTAAGGAAACAAGCACACTGTTATTTCCTTCTCTTGTTCAGTTAGAGACCATTCATCATGTTGTATGTGGGCAGTATTTGGAAGAAGAAGAGACAAAAGTATCGGACACTATGTTCTGTGTGATAGATGTAGTAAAACACTTTTTGTCCTAAAACACGCTATATTGCTTCAAGTGACTTATTTCAAGAAGTACCGTGCAATGTTTTGGTGTGAAGTCATCAATGGTCATAACATGTTAATTATACAAATGCAATATTAACTTCAGTGTCTTCCTCGCAAATATCTGATGAAAACCTTTGCTACATGTATCAATTATTTCCCAATATGTCACAACTACATATCTTTCTGTTTGCAAACTCGCCAGTTAGCTATATATAGAGATCCTCCAAAACATACGTTCTAGATTTATTTACAAATTTGAAACATTTCTAATAGAGTATGACAAACATGATAGCTTTACCTTAATTACTGATGCTAACAGTTACTTCTCTATTCATTTGAAATGATCATTCTATTCTGATTAAATGTATATTTGACTTTTTTGTTAAGTTATATCATTTTTCACTTTCCTTCCGGAGTCATTAGAGAAAATATTTATGCAGTTTTGCAGATATAAGTTGAAAATGAAATACTGACTAGTGAGTGAGTGTGCAAAAAATAAATTGTTTTATATATTTTATCTAAAAAGAAATGGTTTTCAACCAATTAACAAACTTTCATTTTTGGTACAATTTATAGTTGTTGCTTTGCAGTGGGGTATAGGTTTTGCTCATTGTTGAAGATTGACAGTGATTGTGGTGACCAATAGTTGCTAACTTCTACATCATTTGGTCTCTGATGGAGAATTTTCTTGTTGGCTGACATACCACATTTTCTTACTTTTATATTTAACTTTTGGACATCGACAGAACTGTCAGAATGATATATACACTGTATGTAAACAATATTCATAGTCAGAGACTTGCAAATTTCTCCATAAAAACACCTGGCATCAAAGAGTAAGAGAAGACTTGTTCGTGCAGTCATAATAACTTCTTTAAATAGTAATGTTTTTTCCTGCCAACTGTATATACTGTACCTGAACTAGCACATACAAAATCCAGCTCAGCATGTCAATCTGGTAAATGTTCAAAATGTTCAAAGCAGGGTTAATGTTCATATTTCATTAACATTTTTTCATCCTGAATATGTATTTACATGTAATCATGGTAATTGTGATACTGTGATTTATTCATGTTATAATATTATATACTAAGCATCAATAAGATATTTTTGGAGTACACTCTATGTGAAACAAACAGAAGTAAACAAGCCATAAATTCACAACAGAATGTCAACTTTAACAGTGCTTACAGGTGTGATGTCTGACACAATTATTAGTGTTGATATTTAGGCAGTCAAACATGTCAAATATCATTGACCATATTCATATTTGATATACATGTACAGTTAGTCACTGACTCTATATGGCCATGTTTATGACATTGACGATGTGCTTCATTTACCATGTTTACATGTATGACATCAGAATGGTCCCCACCAGAATACAGGTTTTCCAAATTTCCTGCTCTGCTTCAAATTCAAAAATGATTTTTACCACAAATATCTATAGCTGCATTTTTGTAGAAGTTGCTCTTGAAATATAAAATTTTATTTTCCTCATATACTGTAATAAAAATTTGTCCAAAGCATGTAATAAAAAGACATTAATATATAGTTATTAGGAGGACCCTCAGGATTATAATTCTATACTGGAGTGGCAGTTTTATTACAGGAAAAGGATAAAAAAAAAACAAGTTCAAAATGGTGATTAAATTCCGCTTTAATCGGATCTCAACAAAATGACTAAAAATTGTAAAAAAATAAAATTTGTCCAAAATCCCAATCTGTCATTTAGGACTTATAGCATGTATACAGGTATAGATTTCAGATTCGGTCATGTCTGGCAAATATGATTGTTTCCAGACTATTGGTGGGAACCTTTTATAGCCTACCATCATGACTATATATAAGGTATTGATTTTTTCATTGATGAAGGCTGTACAGTTGCCTATAATTGCTTCCATCCACTTCATTTGAACTTTAGTGCATAGATGTCTCTTTGGCAATCATACCACATCTCCTTATTTTTATTTTATTATTAGTTTATACAAGTATATTGTATATTTTTAAACATAATACGCTTGACTTATTTCTATTAATGCATGATTCATATAAAAAACTATATATATAGTTCGGTAGAAAACTTGTGCCAGGAAAGAAGAAATCGTCAACTCAACATGCTCAATGGCCATGATGGCTGAATTTAAACCAATTATGATATACTTAAAATTAAATTGATACTGATAGACACAATAGACATGATAGACATAATAAAGCCAGGTTCATGGATTGTCATGTTAATAGTTGTTCAGTAATTATTACTCTACAACATGCATGTACAAGGGGATAATCTGTTGTGACTTTTTCATGAGTTATACGTTTCTTCAAATATATTTGCCTTAACTTAGAATGCTAGAATGCTAGATAAGTCTATTATTATTATGTTCGTCCAATTGATACAGAAGTTTTAATTTCATGAATTTAATAAACAGCTGCGCCATGAGCATGATACGCCCGTCGTCTTGTGTGTGAATTTTTATGCAATAACATAAA